ATACCACTCCGTTTTTCATCTCGTGTGTGGTTTCCCACAAAATTTGCAATTCATTTCCAGAACTCCGGAACGTGACTTTGCGGGCAAGATTAGACTATATTATAAATTTGGTTAAGTGGATGCTAAGCCCCAAAACGGGTACCTCATACTACAAAAAGGGCATAGTGTATCTTCTCCTTAAAGGTAATATAGATATATATTATACTAGAGTATATCAGAATGATTTGAATTATTCCAAGATCCCGGACACCTAACATAAATTATCTGGAGACAATTAATGTGTACAATTGAGAAGGTATAATCAACATTAGGGAACACCAAGATACAGTTTCTGTCAGGCATTCAAAAAAAAAATCCAGTTATCTTGTCTTGTTGGTCCAGGAAAGCGCCTTAAATACGCCATCGACGTGCAGGCCACCATGCAGCGCTTCTTATAGTTCAGAGTTAACTTTTAAATTATCTAACAAATACAAAAAAATGGCACAATCACTTTACGATAATTCAAATCATTTATATACTTTATATGCTCATTGTTTTACAATATTGTCTGATAATTTCCAAAGTGTGTACTGGTTCGAAGGATTTGTAGTAGTTTACGAGAAAGTCATGTCACAGATCAAAATTCAACTAATGGCTCCTGGATTCTAGACACTAATTCTTAATATATAAAGTTATAGTCTAAAGGTTAAACGCATACAAAATAAAGTCTAAAAGAATAGTAGCGACTTAAATTCGCTCACTTGATTTCATGCTGCCGAATTACGGCTTGTAGAAATCAACATTTTTGATTAAAAGATCAGTGTCGACTGTAAAGAATATAAATTGTCTTAGTAATTGTAGATACACCAAGAAAGCACAAACATATGACTAACATGGTTTACTACAAGACCATTTGAAAATAAAAGATATATAATTTTCGAACATACTGGTTGTTAGTTAAAATGTATGGAAATCAAAGGGATACTGTTACCAGTTAAATGCTCTCTTAATGGTGTATTATCCAGCGTTGCGCGTCCTGAAAAAAGTCACCACCGCCGTCGGCTAGTTTTTCTAATGGCTTTCAGTTCTTCGGCAGACAGACAAAACAAGTTGATAGGATACCCAAAACCGTTAAACTTTCCAGACTACAAAAAATAAAACTTTTCCTCCAAAAGTTTGCCCATGGCATTTTAGACATGTTTATGCTGCAAACCAGGATATAAATATTAAGGACTTCATTAAGCTAGCACATCGGGGCAAAGAATGGGCTATCGGTTGGACATGGATCATTATCTGGACAGATTTGTGTCCAATTAGCGTTTTGTCATATTCTTAATGATCTTATATTTTCTATTGTTTATGGACAATTCATGGAAAACGTAATGTACATGTTGAGTTGACGTTTATTTAGTAACATTTTTTTATTTATCTGTTAAAGCCAGACCATTCTGAGCATCGGAACAAGGGGACAAGAAATGGAAACATACTCCGGGTTGGCGTGCGAACACATTCTCCCCACCCTTACACCCAAACGCACATCACTGAGTTAATTGCCTATATACCTTTGGATACAATAATGCGCATAACGTTATTTTTTTTTATCTCTCTTCCTTTTCCTTGTTTCTCACTTCCTTTCTTTTTTTTTTTAAGACCTTTTTTTTCATCTCTTCTCTCAAACTCTTAAATTTCTGATCTTGCGTATTATGTTCCTAATCTTACCTTCATTTTTCCCCCTCCGTTTTCCCTTTAACTGATTTCCCGGAAAACGCCTTAAAATTGTCATCGACGTGAAGGCCATCACGCAACGCTTTAGTATCATAGTTTAAAGTGTACTCTTAAAGTGTCCAACAAATACGAGCAATTTGCACCATCCCTTAAAGTTAATCTAGATTATTTACATAATTCATATGCTCATTGTTTTACAATATTGTGTGATAATTTCCAGAATGTGTATAATGATTTTTATAAATGAAAACATCTTTTTAAAATTCTAATCTTCACTATTATGTTCCCCTTCTTATATACCTTCATTCTTTAACTTTATTCCTGTTTTCCTTTTTGATGAAATTTCTCTTTTTATACCAATTCTTTACTCCTTCTTTTCGTCATTTCATTTTATCGCTCAACTTTTTCTGCCCTTTCCCTTCCCTCCTCTTATTTCCCTTTCTATTTATTTTCATCTCGCATTCTCACCTCTCATATTAACAAAAATATCAGTTGATGATTACCAAAAAAAGCCGTCTTGAAGTGTTCGTCATGTTGGACAATCCTATAATCGTTACAAAAGAAAATGATACTTGTTGTGCCAACTTCAATCTGTAAGAAAAGCTGGCATTCAGAAGAAGGAGGGGATTGAAATGTAGTCATTTTATTTCAGTAATTGGATCTGAATTCCCCGGAGAGTCTGCACCTCCTCCTTAGTGCATTTGTTTATTATGTTTGATTTTTTTTTATGTGGTTTTTAGGAATTATCCGTACTCCTCTTCTTTCTCATTCGCCGTCTTAATGTTTACTTTTATTTCCTGCTTCGCCATATTTCCCAATGCCACAATTTCAATTTTGATACAAAAAAGGCAGAATATTATACCTGAAATCAATATGATTGACTTTTCTGTCACTGAAAGCACAGTCGACCACAGTCGACCGCGCAATCCGAAAAAAGCAACAACAATGTTGTATCTTCGAATTTCTCGCCACCGTGGCATAAGCCGAGTCGGAATAATGCATGGAAAATTATATGTTGGATTGCGGTAAAGCCAGATGCGTGACTATTCTCAGATTCCAATGACATTTAAAAGCAAACAAGCCCTTTGGAAGAAAAAAAAGAGAGAGTGAAAGTTTTCTTCAAATAATTACACTTACTCCCCATAGCTATCTCGAGGGAATTTTAAACCTGGTAATAATAGGTCGACAAGAGTATCGTCGTGCCAAACACTGCCCAATACACAAATTAATAAAAAGCCCCAAACAAATAACTCGTATTGTCATAAAATAAAATGTTAAATGAATGTATACCAACCAGGATACCATTTCACAAGGCCTCCCCCCCCCCCGAATGTACCACTCCCCTTTCCGACAAACCAAAGAGATTATTACATACAATACTCCACGGCTAGGCATCTATAATAAAGGTAATTTCCATTTTACATAAATGTCCAAATCAAGTAGCTGGAATTGGTGATCCTAATAGTACCTTCTCAAAAATATTGTTGATTAACTAAATTTTATGGACGAATTGAAGAGAGAAATTGAACCCTCTAATTAAAGGTATTTTTAGTAATATGGATGAAAGGTGCATATGTAAGTTAGTAAGCACTCAAATGACTGCATGCATAAAAACTCACCATTTCAGACTTTTTTATTTTATTTTTGATATCTATTTTAAATCTATATCGATTTGAATATATTTTAAGTTTATTGCCAGTCTGACTGGTCTTCATTTACTGTCAGCATGATATTGGAAACAATTTTGGAACTAAACTCTTCCTACACATTTTGGAAATTGTCTCGTTAGTTTTGTCTTAAATGGTTACAGTGCAGAGAGACCCATGTTGTGGACAACCTTATAAAACAATGTGCTAAAGCCAAAACTTTGTAATGTAACGACGTAATTATCGGTGGAGAGGAAGCAATTACATGTTTTCAAAAGATTTTATTTTTAAAGAAGTAAAACTTATTTTGCTGTACAAAGACAAAATAATGTTCTCTACGTATCATGGAAAAGCTCCTTGTATAACATATTGGCGCTTTCTTGGCTCACTGTTACCTTACGAAAAAGAAAATCAAAGACAAAAAAACTTTGATGTAAGCTTTTAAGAGTAAGATTTTCTTTCACTTTCCTATATAAAATGACAAGACTTATAATGATGATTTCTATCCACCTTCTTTTCTGGAGGATTATTCACCTTTGGTGACAGGGATTTACTTTTTGACTAAATCCATCGTGTTGTATTTCCCAGGAGGATTATATGGCTTGGCGACGAGTTGAAGTATAATGCCATTGGTCTGCTGGATCTAAATATCCTGGCGTCTGCGTGTGGACGTGTCGTATTTCTTCCTCCTTTAAAGGTTATGTCATCAAAGTTGATACCTCTCCCTTCAACTGCCTTTAAAACCCCACTGCACTACTTATAGCTACTTGCGCCCCCTTTACAGCAAACAGTGCCTAATCGGTGACCATTGGTCCCCCACGATCCCCTTTTTCTTATTTTAATTGAGAGCTGATTTGATGAGATAACCACCTGTCAGTGACCTTGCAGGGAGGTCTAACCCCCTGGCTAAACTACTGCAGACGGGCTTTAAATGCTGCGCACGTATTATTTACAATGTCAAATTTATAAGAACTGGCTAAAGTCAGGCCAAAGGCGCTGAAATCAGCATGCGCAGAAAGGAATACGTCACAAAGATATTAGAGACATGATTAGCCAAAATAATGAGATCCTCGAGCAATTTCGTGTTCAATGAAATACCCATTTAGAGGTTGATCACAAAAATGAAGGGCGAAATGTCTCCAAAAAAAAAACGAGTGTAATCTTGGGAAAGCGTAAACGTAGTGCTGTTATCGACAAAGGCGTGGTTGGGGTTGAGGAGCAATTTATTTTGACTTTCCTTTACGCGGATCAACCGATATATCAGGGATAATTTTGAGGCATACTTCTTCTATTCCCTAAGTCTCAAAAAAAATTATAATTTCTCACTTTGTTGTTTAAGAGGTACATGTTCATTTTTATCCAGTAGTAATCATTGTATCAATTCCCTGCAAATCGCAAATCGCTAGTAGTTTTCATTTTACCCCAAATAGTTTGCGAGGGTGTGTGCGCGCGTATCGCAATCGTGTGGTTCGTTGGGTGGTTGGATGGTTTATTAGTGGTTTTTTGATTCAATCCATCCCGAATTCACTAATTCTTTGCTGAGCCGGGGGCTCAAGAACTGCATTAATCAACAATACCACTGTAAATACATAAAGATAGAACGAAAATAAGTGACAGAATATATTTCCTCTCAATTTGTATGATCCTTACCTCCTCGCCTATCGCATCGTAGCTGAAGTTGAACTCTTTTAGCGCCCTCTCCTTCACATCCAGGGCGAATTCCTCGAATACGGGAGACTTTTTCTTGTGGAGTGTGAAGGTCATGAGCGCACGGTAGGCCGCCTTCGCGTTCTCATCGTCAGCATCACCACGCTCCCATCCAATGTTACCAAAGTATGAGCTGTCGAAGAGGACAATGTTGAAGAAAGCGTAGGAGCCATCGGTCATACCCAGTCGGTGGGCTGCCAACATTAGCTTGCGAACAGCGTCACCGGATGCACAGATGATGACGACTGTAAAAAGGGGGAAAAAGACAAAAGAAAGGAACAATTAATTCTTATGTTGACATTTATGTAAAAGATTTTGGAGTGGCGTTACAAAGAACTGATAAAAAAGGAGGCAGATTCTTCCCCAAACAAGGGTGGAGGGAGTCACTCTGTCTACCTGCGTGCCATAGATCCTGATGCTCCTTTTCTGTCACAGAAGAGGGAAGGGAAAGGGGCATATGCTGGACCTATCGTTGTGCTGGCTACGCCATTGTTTGGGTTGGGAACCAAAATAAAATATCACAGAAATACTGTGCCTGAAAATGTAACCGAGCAGAGATTCTTTATCATATGAGCGATCAATACAAAATAAGAAATATTACCACCTGTCCTAGCAATAAACTAAAATGAGTATTTCCTATTGCGTCTCTCATTTTCAAAATGAGATACACACCAATAGTCCAAACAGAGAGCAATGACTCTCCGATCAGTCCACTCCTTGTGCATGGCTTCGACTGCGAGAGGATTACCATAATTTGATGAAAGAGACATTATAAGGTAATATGATATTACCAAATAATATCAACTAGACGTAATGATGAAATTGAAAATATTCATACATGTCTTAAAATGTCGGTTATTATTGATCGCGAGGCATGTTGTCATTTCCCTTTTTTGTTGTTGCCATCAATCATACTTATGTTGCTATTTTTCTAAGACGGACGCATACATCCCACCTTCCCTATAGCAGAAAGAAGAAGAAGGACAAGTTCTTATGGTATGAAGCTTCAATTTTAGCATTCACCAACCGTCAGAAAACATGTAAAGACTGCAGGGAAAGAGTATGGATGGTAAAGAAACGAGATTGGTTGGAGAGGTTCCGGAGATGGCATTACAGAAATCGACACGAGATTTCTTCGTCAAATTAAATTACCGTTTTTTGTTGTTGTTTAACCGTCCCGGTTTTCTTCGAATCGAACTATTATTTTGTTGGTGCTGATAAAAAATAAATATTGAATCAGTTATGAAAATCATTTTTGTTTTCATTTCCGTCGATGTAGGGCGAGAGTCTGAGTTACTCGATAGTATCAATGTCATCCTTATTTATTGAAGACAGTACGAAGGGATGTCGTTATTACATTCCCACTCCATCAAACGTGTCCAGTAGTTCAATTAGCGGAAGGGTCAGTTATTAAAGAACGCCGCTGTATCACACGGGTATTGTACAAGTATAAGAACAAAAGATATCTTTATAACATGTGGGACCGGCGCCAGCTTGGTGATATCCTTGGTACTAATATAATCTTCAGAATATATCAAGAGGTCAGTTTTTATGCCATCCTTCTTCCCATTAAAACATTAATTTAATAAACATATCTGGGAGGTGTACACGGCACCTGATACGCTGCGTCACTGCTGTGGAATTTTCTATCGGCTTGTAAATTTCAAGTGAATCTGTTGTTTTGTTCTTGTAAGTGACTTTGTTGTGTTATCCTTATCAACTATATTTTAAAGATTTTTTTTCTTAAATATTGTCTCTTGAATACAATTTGTTTTAATCACGGATCATCAGAAAATTAAAAGGGAGTTCGAATCACAAATTTAAAGCTAAAACATCTTTCAACTATACACTGACTCTCAATATCCTGCATGACTGAATACACGAACGTTAACAACAGCAGATGCAAACCAGTATATTAAGGGGTTGCTTTGAGTTTATCGCAGATTCGCTGTTCAATACAGATAATTACATAGTCGCATTACAAGAGTAGTATACATTTAACCTGCTCACAAAAAGTAAATGAAGAGTTTTTGTTGTCGGGGTAGGGGCTGACACTTTTTTTATGGTCGTGAACACACAGCAGAGAATTGCAATTGAAGGAATCTAATATAAAGATAACAAGGCGGAATACACAGCGGGGAAAGCCACTGGGGTGCTAAACAAAAACGTCATTACTTAATGACGTTTTGTATAATAACACAATAAGCTCTGGCGTCTCCTATTATATCTCATAAAGTAAGTGCCTCTGGGATAAGTCACATGTTATTAGCTTATTCAAGCGAAATGGTCAACTCTTTTTGCTCCATCTTTACTCACGACTAGATAATTGAGTGGGATGAAATGCTTTGCCCTTCCGTGCCTGTAGCCATGATTTTATAATGCCAGCTTGTGTATTACCATTTCAACTCGCTTATATATATATATATATATATATATATATAAATTAAACCTTTCACGGTTTCACGTCCAATATACAATACTGAAACGTTTTTACACATTTTCTTCTTCTTCTGTTTTCATTTCGTTTTGGTTTAGGCAATCATGAACGACCAGCTCTCGACCAGCAGTTTGTCTTAGCCCCAACTGTTGAGAACTTTAGTAGCACGCTTTAGCATGTATCACCTGTCATACAAGTTAGCGACATGCCGCCCTGCTGACTTCGATTTCAGAAGATTCAGAAGAACGAAATCCTCACAATTCTCCAATGGCGGCTGCGATAAAATGCATGGATCGAGGCTAGACTTGGATTGCGGATTAGTGCGCTATAATCCCACCCACCAAAGGCCTACGCACTATTTTCATGTTATACGCAGCAAAACTCTCAGATTTCCTCTATTTACATCGACAAATGGGATCCCAAGATACGTTTACTGGAATCTTCAATACCTCAAATCCAATCAATTTTGCTCCAGATTTGAAGGTATGGCGACAAGAGAAAATTAGGAAAATGATGAAATGTAGATATCCCATTAATTCATTCTCCGACTAAAGCCCTAGCAAGATCGAAACTCGGCGAAAGTGGCAACGTGAATTGATGTAGTCGCCTGTTGGATTCTTCTCATACAAATTTGAACATTTGAGGCTGTGGTTTTACAGCACAAATGCTTCCGTAATATTGAAAAGGGAAACAAGACAGAGAAAGAAAGAATAAGAATCGAATGAAAAGGCAGGAAATTGATCACAAGTCCGGAACACCCCACTTGATATCCTGTAGCATGTGATTAATGTTACAAGCATAACATAATCACATCTCCACAAAACAGCCGTCTATTTTCAGAGGCATTTGAGAAGTTTATCCCTGATGGCCAGCAGCAACGTCAACCTATCTGCATGTTGTTATCTCAAGATATTTCAAAACTATCACTTACAATCTTTATTCTCAGTTAAGTTAGACTACTTCAAGCCATCATTGTTTGGGGGAAATGCAGGGATGATACTATAGACCGAAAGCTTCGGTCTCTGATATCGACGGTTGTTCCGCTGATATTACATCTGGCTCCTCTGACCGCCTCTATTACATTGTATGGGGAAGGTTGACAAATGCAAGTTTTATCAAAGAAAGACCCATACTAGATGGTTATTTCTGTCTAGGATTATACCAACAATTTAACTCCAACATGTCATAAGTATAAAAGCTCATATATGCTTTGCTTAGTTTTTTGTATTTGTTGTTTCTAGTGTTTTCTCTCTCTCTCTCTCTCTCTCTCTCTTCTAAATTCACTTGAAATGAATCATGTCAAAGAATACATGACCCAGAGCTAGAGCTGGGGTAACACTAACACGATAACCCATTGAGTGATGATTATGAGCTCCATAAAACAGAGTTTGATTATTGCAATCATCTTTGTCGTGATTGATAATGATTATTTCCCATTAATTCCGTTGGTAAGTGCATTGGTGTGATTATCGCACATGCCGTCATGCCTGCTTATACAATTCATTAACCACACCTTAAATTATCTATGAGATCTATGATTGGATTGTAATTATACCCGTGATATATGCGGTGGAGCAAAGTGATTTCTCATGTCCCTAAGTGGTAGAAGAGGTAAATACATTTTTAAAGAGTTATGGTGTTGGCTTGATTTTTTTTCAGTTTGATACGGAGGAACATGTTCTGCAAATGGCACATTATGGTGGTTATGATAATACACGTACCACGCACATCAATCTTGCTTGCATAACGCTCCAAAACCTGTTAATGACATAAAACAAGACAGCTTTCCTTATAAAAACACAAAGGACTTTTGTAACATCAGAACTCGGTGCAATATCTGTAGTCTTAATATAGACAATACCCATATTCTAGCTGTCGACTAAGATCTATTGCCATCAATACTTCATGAAATTGGAAACTTGGGGAACAATGGAGAGGTGTCGTTTACTGTGTCGTGATTGAGCGTGTCTCTTCAATCTTGTGAGAAACAAGGTACGGCCAAGCCAGATGATCATGAAATATAATACCTTCTAAAAGATAACACTTTGGATTAAAACAACCACACCATGCTATTACGCACGTAATCGCAGATTTAACGGAAATATAATACCTTATAAAAGATAAGTTGTGAATAAAACAACAACACGATGCTATTTAGAATGCGAGCGCAGATTCATGAAAGTTAAGCTAGCCCACAAGACGGCAAGAAAATATATGCAGCGTTTAGAAGCAAAGATCTATCTACAGATCTATGACAATATAAGGGGACGGTGAAGCATTTTCAATAAACATGAACCTAAAAATATGCTCAATATGTGTGGATCACGCTCCTCTAGCAGAACGAACATGAACAAATTCGCCACGAGCCGCAAACACATTAATCACGCCACGAAAAATAGAACTCTAGAATGAGGCAGGCTTGGATTTTTATCTATTTCCTCTTCTTTTTTTTTTCATTTTACCCTCTACATTCCAATCGATTCAGATTTGTATGAGACACTCATCAGTCAAGCTTCGATCTGGATCTAACACATATTTGACTTTCACACAGCTGTTGAGAGGGGCAGTAGAGGGGGAAGAGGAGACAAGAAAGGTATAGCGTGTGACAAGAAGCAACTGATCGAAACGACAAGACAAGCAAAGCAAAACGGCTTACTCGCGTCATCATACCTATTCCGTATAAAATTATGTATGGAATTAGATGGTGAATATCCTTGTAAATGCCATGCATATTTGTAAGTCAAAAAGGATTTCTCAGGCCAGTCTGCTCTTAGCTGCATACTGACGAAATATGAACCGCATATT